TAATCTATCTAAAGAACTTTTTAGGAAATTAAATTACCTATCAATTCGCCAATCCAAATTTTATAGAAAATCAAGAATATTCAAGTGGATGACAATGAAATAATGGTGTCCTCTGATGATGTCACAACATTATATGCTTCAATTAGTTCAAAACTAGTGAAAGAAATTATGCGACAATTACCTGCAATGTTCAACTTGGATAAAACTCATAGAATTATGTCTTACAACATACGTCCAGCTCAATAATCAAATATACGAACAGATCAAAGGAACATCAATGGGATCATCGCTCATACAAGGATTAATAGCTGAAACCGTCATGCAGAGAATAATATTAATAGCTCAACCTATAATTAAACCAAAAATCTGGGTACGTTACCTTGATGATACATTGGTAATGATCAAGAGAAACCATTTAGAATATACCCATAAATTAATAAACAACATATTTGAAGACATCAAATTCACAAGAGAAGAAGAATTAGACAACAAAATCCCAATTTCAGCTGTGTCTTAGTCAGGAGAACTAACACAAGGAATTTAAAAACACAAGTATATAGAAAATCAACTCACACAGATGGAATACTCAACTATACTAGCAACAACCCAATTACTCACTGACAAAAGAAACTGTGTGCAGACATTGTTTAATAGAGACTCCAAACACACTGTAACACTAGTCCGGTGTTGAACAGAATCGAGGAAAAGTACCTACTAACGGTCTTCAAAAAGAATGGTTATATTCACAAAATTTCATCAGAAAGTGTTTGAAATCGAATCACAACACCAAAAAGGAGCCATCATCAAAGATCACAAGAAAATTCATCCTACCATACACGAAAAATATATTTGAAATAACAGCTGAAATACTGAAACCGTTTGATCTGGAAATACCGCACAAGCCAGCCAGTAAAATCACTTCACTCGATATTATGAAAACAGAAAGATCCAACAAAAAAGGAGATAGAATAATACCATTTACAAAATAAATTGCATGTATGAACTGTAACAGGCATTACATCGGCCAAAGTGGGCGTCCCCTTCGAATCAGAATCCAGGAACACAAATCAGCGGTGAAAAGGCATGATATGTGTATTCTTCCATATCAATGCATATGGATAATTATGGACATCAATTTGATGATTGGGATAATGTCGAAATTTGAGACAGAGGAAATACCAGAAATGCAGTTCGGGGAATCCCTAGAATCCTTCTGCTCAAACAAATCAGCCAGCGATTAACAAACATGTTTATACAGACCAAATCTACCAACTAATAAGAAGGAAATCATGTGACGAGAAAGTCTATAATCCGAGTCAATAAAACAACGACGAACACATATGTAAAGATGGTGGTTACCGAGAGGCGCAATTCTATCACTCATGGAAATTTAAATCAGTTCACTTTGGGCTAAAAATGGCTCTGACGACATCGTCTAGATTCGGTGTGGGGATGAGGGGGAGGAGGATGACGAAAACTCCTCAGTGTGGAATTAAGCTGTAAATCAAAAAAAAAAAAAAATCAAAAAAAAAAAAAAAACTAAACCAATCAGCCTAGAGAACACTACTAATTGCAAGACTGATAACTAAACACAGAACGTTTTTTTCTATAACTTGCGCCTATTCATCAGCTTCAACAGTGATATGCCTCCGTAAGAATGATGAAAGAATTAGTGTTGTTAACAACATTAATTTGGTTTAAAGATAACATCGAATCAGTCAATCAATCATTTATACGAATAGAGTAGAGTTGAACAGCATCTGTAGGCCTGGTAACATGCATCAACATAACACGAAACACTGAAAATCAGAAAAATTAGGAAGAAAAATAATGATATAGAATTCATGGATTTATAGGCTCCATAGAAGGCCAGGATAGTAACAGTGGATAGCTGGGCATGTTTCTTCTCTACATAGAGCACTGGATATCTTAGGCGAATGGCAATAAGAAACACATGACCAAGAAAGTAGAAAAGGAATATTCCATATCTTCCTACATTGAGTTTACTTGATAAATTTTGATAATAAAAGAAGAAAGACGGGATTTGCAGTATAAAATGATATCGTTATTCTATTTCACAGGTTCTCACCAGCTGCTGCACACCAATACCTGAAATTACAATGGTTGTATAGATGGTAATGATGACACACTTTAATGTTTAAGTGGTAGTAGAGAAGAGAGCAATACTATAAAATTGACGCATCCAAAATGAAAGCAGCATTACAATTTTCAGTTATTTAAGTTTTCATCATCATTTTATACGCTTTAAAAGTAGAAAAGAGGGGGAAGGTTAAAACAGAAAGAATCAACTAATAGTGTCAGCTTGCAGGTTCGCATAGCAGCTTCAAAAACACAAGTGGTTACAGTTTATAAGTTTGAGATTTGTTCAGTGAGTTGAGATCAGTGAATTCTGTTACCAAGGGAGTGAGAAATTAATCGCGCTCCCTTTCTATATGCATAACTCTGGTTGGTTTGAATTGTTCGATTGCGATCGCTTCGGCAAATCGTAGTAAATTTGCTGTTTTTTTGTCTGTTTAATACTTTGAAGGACTTAAAAATCTCTATGAGATGTCCGATATCAACAATATGTCTGGTAATTACACTCTGAGAATATTTGCTTCTTTCAGGCACAAGTTTCTTGGAATATGTTCAGAAAACCGGATAGAAGCCTTTCTTTGTGTCGTTCCAATGTACTTGCTCCGGCTAGTGTATGTAAATTCATAAACGCAGTTAAAGGTGACATCAGCAGGGTGTTTATTCAGTTTTAATTGGCTAATACAAGACGTTGTGCTGTATAGTGTTGAGTTAGGCTACAGGGAATATTCTTTTTATTGCAACTTTCAGTCTTTTGTCAATCATTCGCGACAGTGCATCTCCTTTGAGTGGGTGACAAATAAACAATTTTTTGTTTTCTACAAGTGGGTTTTCTCTTTCTTATCTTTTTCTCCGCTATACTTTTTATAAATCCCTTAGGGTATCCATTTTCTCTCAAGCATTTCTCAACGAAATCTAATTCTTCTAACACCTTGTTCGGTGGACATACCTTCCTGGCCTTGCTATTTGAAATCCTCACTAATCCACGTCTATAGCTTATGAGACAAAAGCTGTTATAGTCAAGTTATTGTTCTGACCAGGATTTCTTTCTATAGATGGACTTCTCGATCTTACCCTCGTTTGTTCCTTCTACATCTAGATCCAAGAAATTGAACTCATAATTATTTTCATATTCCATGGTGAATTCGATGTTTGGATGGATCTCATTCAGGCGATCATATAACGCCGATGAGTGATCCATGTCGTTGCAAACAACAAATGTGCCATCAACATATCTGCGATCGTAGGTTGTTCCATTGAAAGCAGAATTCAGTTGTGCCTGTTCTATATCTGCCAATAAGAAACCTTTACATATATATAGTGGTGAAATACGAAGTGAAATAATTACTAATAAGTTGAGAAGGTCTATTCCAAGAATTTTGAATACTAGTAGACTACAAATCATATTTTCTACAAGACCACTTGTGGTTGCTTAATGGAAATATGAAATACATAAACTAGCCAACTCTAATTGTAACTACGTATTGAAAAGCGCTTGCGTAGCTAGTTATATTTTATAGAAGAAACATGTCTATCTGTTCACAATTACTGTCCTGGACTTCTATGGAGCCTATAAATTCATAAATTCAGCTTCTATGCCAAAACTGTCGGGTCACAGCCTAACTGTACGAACTGTAGCATCGCCAGCTACCTGTATTTCAGGCGGTTGAACTTTGCCGCTAAATGTCCAACCAATACCTCCTTGGTCTGCTTCTATCCTAACCAATCCACACCGTTTTACACCGCCTCTGCTCGACCTCTTAGATGACTCCATAGAAGCACTGACTTCGCCATACGATCTCCATAAACTCAGCGACTTCTTCAAGATCCCACAAGAAGCTTCTGATTTCTCCTTCTTGTAAAAACAGCTGACTACAATGTCCTCATCATCTGGACACCACGATACCAAATAACGGCAGAAGTAACGGTAGAAGATGAAAGAATTGCTCTGATATCTTATCTATCTCCCTCGTAATTGATGCCTTATATGAAGATGCATATCTCTTTGTATACTAGTGACAAATCTTATCAGTAGGACAAGCCAGAATAAGAGTAGTGTAATGTCAGTTTCAAACGGTAAAGATAAATAAAACAAACAACCAACCAGTAAGTATAAGAGCATAAGTGAAGTGAACTCGATTGGTTGAGTGAATCTATCGGTGTTTATGTGCCACCAAAGTTAAGAAAGAAGAAAGTGATATCATTGAGAAAAGTGTTGCAGAGTGGAAAAGTAACAATGTGAAGAAGACATCAGAGAAAATTGTATTTATACATATGATTTGAATTGTCAATACACTAGAGTATTTACAACAGGTTTCGTATTACTACACGTAGACAAAAGAATAGTTCATCATACACAAGAATGGAAAGAAACACCATCCAATGAACACACTCCACTCAACTACACCACACTCTACTATGCTTTACTCAACTGAACTCAATTGAAGTGAACTACACAACAATACAATACAATACAATACAATACAATACAATACACTTGTCTGACCTAGTTAATCTCGCCTAATATCAACGACATCAACACACTCGACCCACTCAACTCATGTGACTTCCATACACATCATTGTATCGAGGTCAAGTGGCTGATCAACTCCACCAGCCAATATCTCATATGAACAGCTCATTCTACTACAATTACTAATCTCATCTACACAATCACTCAGTTCAATAACACACTGATAATCACAACCACTTACACACACAGAAACACTCTCTACCTGTCCTTCACCCTCACCCTCTCACACGCACAACATACACATACACGCAGAGAATTCTCAATTATTCAGCATGTGAAGGTCGACCAGTGTCCTCACATCTCATTCACTCGCCTCTTCAACCCACATCTCGCATATAAATACGCAATTCCACACGACCATTTCAACAATCGACACATCTCATCAAATAAACACACACACACACCACACCTTCCTTCGGACACAGAGATCAAGCGAGATGCATGCCACCTTCGTTTCTGCATTAGTCTTCTCACTAATCGTTGGTCTTGTCAATGCCAATCCCATCCCCAACTCCAACAACGACGGTGATAACGGTGAAAGCGACGCGTTAGCAAAACTAATTCTGCAAGGTGAGTCAAAATCATGCATGAGAGTACTTAGTGAATTGCTGTGTGTCAGTCAGATGTAGTTGAGCGTGTGTGGTGCTGTGTGACGGGGTGAGTGTTCCAGCCAGTCAGTGAGTGTGTGAATGAGTGAGTGAGTGAGCGAGTGTATTGCATCCACTTGTGTGTTGGTGATGTGCATACTGGTGTGTCGATTATGCCATATGATATTCAGTGAAACCGTGTATCAACGAAACTGTCAGAACGACGTAAGTGTAAAATTTGGCCAGTATGTTAGGCAACTTCATCTGATGTATAACCCACCGATAGTGTCCCATATGGTGGATGATATTTCGAGCACGGTTGATTGATTGTGATAATAATGTCTGTGAATGAGAGAATTATGAGACATTAGCTGTGCTCGAAATGTCATCAATGCATCAATGAGTGTGGGTATGCGTTTGTCTGTGTCATACATATGAACTTATATGATATGTGTCGGACGGACACGTGTCGATCCCACTGACAATGTGGGCTGTGTTCGCTCACAACTCTGTTTCCTGTGACCGGATTTCGCTGCGCAGTTTCCGTCACACACTCGAATTCCTCGTCTTCACACAGCTCTCCTGCAAACCGACATCACCAGTCACTCACTGGTCACTATCCATTCCCACCAAACTGACGCTGCCTCTACCTGTGCAACATACACACTCTGACAGTCGCCAAATTCATTGTGCCTACATCGTACAACCCTATCCTCCACACTTCTTACTGACTCACCACCGAATATCTCTCACCTTCTCTTTCAGATCTGAAAAACTCACATTCCAAGACGAAACAACAACACGATGGGCCCGGTCAATCAGGAACATACAACAAACGCTTTCTCGATATTCTCGGGAAAATTGTGGGTGCAATTAGTGGCTTGTTTGGTAAATAAATCTTCTTGATCCACATCGTTTCTTCTGATTATCCTTGACGTCATGAAATATTCGTGGATACAAGCGATGAGTTGTGAGTACTTGATAAAATGTTTTTGTGGCCAGGTGTATAGACGACTGGTGATGATGATGATGATGACGCCTGTTTGCACACATCTTCAATTTCAGTGCACTTCACGATGTATTTGATGTAAAGGGTTGAATGTCTTCGTCTTTCTGTCCCTTTAACCACGTTGCATATATTGCATTGAAACTCCAACAACTGCGAGTAGAGCACGATAACAAACACTTCCTTTGAGATTATAGTCAAAATTCGCAGCTCACTTGAATGATTTCGGTGTTGATGTGTTCTGTGAGGTGACTATTTCAGTTAATGTAGCCAATTGTTTGTAACTTGAATTTGTCGTTGAAACAGAAGACTAATATATCCATACGAAGGGATTTTGTAAATAATGGAATTATGTCAATTTACATATATAATCTATGGTTTACTATATTCTAGTATTGTTCTTCCCTTTGTGTATGTGAAACTGCCTGTCGTCACCATTTGTAAATGGTCGAGTAATTACTGTAACCTTAAAGCAACCCCAACTTACTCTAGAGTTTATAGAAAGCGACGTGATAAATTTCCGGTGCTCAACACTGGAATAAGATAGACTTATGCCATACTGACTATTTGTCGACGACTTTGTAAACATATGGGGTGCTACAGTGTATCATCTGTGGTTCGAATAGACTCTGACTATAATACCGATTGGGTACTGGGGGATTGAATCCTCAAGCGACTTGTCCATTGCAGTGAAACTTTGGTGGAACGGAGGTCCCAGACATTTGAATGAACTTTCAGGTCATTTGCAGATTTAGTGTTTCCTCCTGTGCATTGCAGTATCATCCTAGTTAGCGTAATACTAAACCTAAGGATTTGACCCAGGATTCATGAAACATATATTCACTTACAAGCAATCACTTCAGCTGGTGTTCTGTAAACACTTTAAACATATTAAGATGTTTTCATCAGGTGGCTTGTTATAAACATCAAACATCGTTGGTTTAATGAAATTCACTCTGTTAGATTTACAACGAGACAAGCAAGTTGGATGAAATAATGTCACAATTTTCTGAAACATGTGAGTTAGCATTCCATGCTAAAGAAGAATGACTCCTTTGGAAATCATGTCAACATCATGATGACAGTATCTCAGGAGTATAAGAGTGAGCAGCTATTTTGATTTACTGGTGAATGAAATGTGAGCGAACAGCATCTATCTGCAGCCGAAATGATCTCATTTAAGATGGACCATGGAGTAATATCACTTAGAGAATCATTGAAACTGCCACTGGAGTCCCAACAACTGTCTCGTTCAAATCCTCAACCTTCCAGTTACAAGGCGAGTTCTCAGATCATTCAGTTACTGGTGCCCACCTCAGTGACCAGACCATGAATTCTAACTTCTACCAATTCGTGAATTCAGTGCAACCCACACCAGGCAATATCACTGGTGAGCGTTTTTCCTCATTCTCGAGTCCGAAATTGCCCACAATCTCTTATCTCCTCCTCCTCATCATCATCACACGATCTCCTCCATGTCACGCTTGCACTGACGACCCATTCATCTCTTTCCATTCGTATTCAACTAGAGTAATGAATCAGTGCGCGATGTCGTTTGATAGTCTTTTCAACGTATGCTCATAGAATCTCTACTTTCTCTCACATATTTATTGCGCGATCGCCTCTTGATTGGTTTGTTCTCGTGCGAGAGTTTCTTGTTGCTAATTCTTCCTGACTGGTCGGCCGGCTAGCCATTTCATCTTCATTATAGAGCTGTTGATAAGAGTCTTTGGTAGCAGTCTGCTTTAAATGGTTTTCACGACAATCTGGTTAAGTATCTGACTTCAAATGTTTGTTGGAAATGCCAATCTTGTCATACATGGTGGGTGATGTAGAAGTCCTCCAAACCGGTTTCAGATCCATGAAAGCATTCCTTTCGTTTTCAACTCTGACTGGCCGCCTTTGACATGTTCATCCGTGGCGTGTGCAGCCTGTGGTTGGAACTATGCTTCCTAGCCAGATGAGTGCATGAGGTAAACTCTTTCAGGTTTATTCCTGTTGGTAGTGATTGTTGTTGTGTATTGTTGTCGTTGTTGTCACTATTGTTGGTTGGTCATCTTCATCACCTGCATCTCCCCTGTGTTCACCTGGAGTCCAGTCTTCACTGCCTGCCTCTTCAATCTAGCCTGTTACATGCTCTGATGGTGTTCTCGTGAACTTTGTTGGGCGATGTGCCTAGCGAGACGGGATGATAGGCGGCAGAACAGTTTTGTGCAAAGTTTGATGAAGAGAGTATGCTATATGCTTTAGCCTCACCCTGATGCAGTTTTTCACCTCGTCTTACAAGCACGGGAAAAGCGAGATGGTTGAGCGTGAGGCCAGTGACTCCAATCAGTGAAAACAATCAAAATACTACAGAAAATTCGGCGCACGAAGAAGGGTTTCGTAAATAATACATGTGCATGGTTGACGAGCGTCCTAACCACTGTGTCACCCGCCTCACACTGACCACAATCTACTCATCTTATTCAACTGTCATGACAGCGTGTAGACGAGCATATTGATGAGAGTGGTGATTCACAGGTGATTTGATATTCAGCCTATAGGAGATGTGAAGATTGATGTTTGGGTGAACTCTCTGAAGTAGTTTCCGTGACACTTTGAATCATCATTCGATCTCTTCACTCCACGTTATTTTCCACTGGATTACCAAAACCTGATAAAACCAGGTCGTTTGCTAGTTGAGCTATTTTACCAAGTTGATTTTTAAATTACTGAAGGAGTCTGTCCAGTGTAAGGTGATACTTGATCTGTGTGACTAGAAAAAAGCGAAGCGGTAATTGATCAGAGTGTTTTCCAAGTAATGACAGTTACTCTGTTCAATATCATTGGACATTTGCCAATTTTCCAATGGTTAATGATTCATCGTACAAACGGAAAGAATTGGGTGAATATGTGTAGTTTGAAAGTGTTTGCATTTTTAACATTGTACATTTCATTCGTTTGTCTGATTTGTTGTTTCATAGAAGCGTGAAGATGACATTTCCTAAAGAATTTGCGGTGATTAGAACATTACAGAAGGCCAACGGATATGAGCCAGCTGTTGACTCTAAATACAAATATAAACAGCATTTATTAGAGAGGAAATAGTAAGACTGCAATGAGAGGCAGAGGTTCATCATGAAATGATCAATGTGTGAAATGAAACAGGTGGAGGCATATACTGAGAAAAGTCATAATATCACTATTAATAATAAGCCCGGATACAATGAATGGAAAATTCGATAGTATTGAGAGGATATTTGAATGAGAGGTATAAATTATAATGAATAATAATAATGATAATAATAATAATAATAAAAATAGTGGTTGTAATAATGAGCAAAGCATAAACGGAAAGTAAATCAAGAGTGAGATGAGGCGAAGAAGCGATCTTCGTTCAGATTGACTTTTAATTCATGAAATGAAGCTATTTCACACTCTTAAATCTTGTAATTATTATGAGCATCCTGTTGCATTCAATGTACTCGCTGAACTCCTGTGTACCATGTGTGTTCAATTACAGTTTGGACAAGACTCTTTACCGACAAATAGATGCTGGTAGTTGTGGGCAGTCCAATTAGTCTTGTTTTAGCAGATATCGTCATATTAAACCTTTTTTTTTGAAAACAAAGTTGAACCAAACAAGTGAGAAAATAATTTCCTATTGTCGATATTGTCGATGGAATATTTGTAGTGTGTGACAATGAAAGTCACGCTTCCCACCTACTTAAATTATTCAACGACACACACAAATAGTGAATTGACTGTGGAATATGAAAATGATGGAAAGTTCTATTTCCTTGATTGGCATTACCATAGAGCCAGTGGATGATGTTAGTTATTTCAGAGGTCAATTTTTTGAAAGCCTACGTGGAATGGACGACACTTTTAATTTGCAGGAAGAAATGGAGATGGATTGGCCATACTCTGAGGAAGCCATCAAGTAATATCACTAGACAAGCCATTGCTCAAGTGGAACCCGAAAGGGAAGCGGCGAGTTGGTCGTCCATGGGTGACTTGAAGGAGGTCATGCGAGGAGGAGATGAAAGCATGTGGGCAGACTTGGAGCCGGGTGAAAGAGTTGGCAGAAAACAGAAGGCAATGGAAGAGCACAGCTGAAGCCTTATGTTCCTCTGGGAACTAAAGGATTTAATAATAATAATATATTTTAATAGTTTTTCCGAAATAGCTTCAAATAAGCACTAGTCCAGACTCTGCATTATGCAACTGGGAGAATATGCTCTGCAAAAAAATTAGAGGGAGAATTTTTGATTCTCGAAAATTCACTAACAAGCACAGAAGATGTGACAGCTCAAACATCAAAAAGATCATGGTGAGAAAAATGCCTGACTTGATTCAGCTCAATTTTATAGGTGAAAATATTTCAGAAAGAGCCGAAAGAAGATTAAATAGGTCACTAGCCATAGCCCATCCTGCAGCTAAGTTGGTTCCCAGCCATTGAACCAAATGCTGTTTGGCTCAGTGAAAAGTCGACAGATACCCTCCTCATGTTAAATCCAACTGTGTATACAAACGTACGTGTAACTGAAGGAGAAGCTGCATTGTGAGAGCATAAAGAAACGCACTCTTTCGTCCTTCTGAACATGTACCGAAAAGTCTACGTCTCAAGTGGACAGAAGCCTACAATATTTTCATAACTTGACATCTCGCTGATACGGATCATGAGGCGAAAATCATAAAATCCTTTGAAAGTGCCACGGATTGATATCAGTTAGAGAACCATTGAATCCAAAGAGTACTGGACAGCTGTAATGGCAGTACGCAATCACACACCCACCCACCACACGACGTTAGAACCCACGAACTTCCAGTTACATGGCGAGTTGTCAAACCACTCAGTAACTGGTGCCTGCATCAGTGGCCATCCCATGAATTCAAACTTCTACCAAT